AAGGGGGAGGGAGATAGGGACAGAGATGGGGAGGGGGAGAGAAGGGGGAGATAAGGACAGAGATGGGGGAGGGGATTGCCATCCAGCAGGTTACCTGAGCCACCAGAATACCGATGACCAATGAGAGCTGGTGGAGGGTGCCCATCGCCCCTCGGAGGTGTGTCGGGGAAATCTCTCCTACATACATTGGAACCAACCCGGAGGCCAGACCTGCCGCGGCACAGGAATGAGAGAAGATGAAAGAACGAAACCACTGAAGCCAAAGCCCAACCAATCCATGACGAGGCCGAGACATATCGTGATACGCACATAGTACGGGGCTGACGCGCCCGCCATTTATATCATGTGACCACACACAGCCAATATCCTGAAAGCTGGCACCGGGGCAATGTCATGTGACCTCTCAGGTCCAGTGACGTGAATGTTGCCAATGTGCTGATGTCATGTGACCTCTCAGGTCCAGTGACGTGAATGTTGCCAATGTGCTGGAGTCATGTGACCTCTCAGGTCCAATGACGTGAATGTTGCCAATGTGCTGGAGTCATGTGACCTCTCAGATCCAGTGACGTGAATGTTGCCAATGTGCTGATGTCATGTGACCTCTCAGGTCCAATGACGTGAATGTTGCCAATGTGCTGATGTCATGTGACCTCTCAGGTCCAGTGACGTGAATGTTGCCAATGTGCTGGAGTCATGTGACCTCTCAGATCCAGTGACGTGAATGTTGCCAATGTGCTGATGTCATGTGACCTCTCAGGTCCAGTGACGTGAATGTTGCCAATGTGCGGATGTCATGTGACCTCTCAGGTCCAGTGACGTGAATGTTGCCAATGTGCGGATGTCATGTGACCACTCAGGTCCAATGACGTGAATTTTGCCAATGTGCTGGAGTCATGTGACCTCTCAGGTCCAATGACGTGAATGTTGCCAATGTGCTGGAGTCATGTGACCATTATGGAGACCTGGAACATGAGTTTCCCCAGAAGTCCGGTGGACATGTCTGCCAGCATGCTGGTCTGCTGGATGGACCCGGGTTATGAGTCATCTATAGGCGGAGCCGGCCGTGCTGTGGCCCACATGCATCCACCATCCAATCCTATGACCAGAGACCATGGAGGTTGGAGGAGGTCTCCATGGACCTCTCAGTGACCTGCGGTGTCACCCAATCATCAGCCTTCCTACCTGAATATGCTCCAATGAGGAACCTCCCCAGGATCATCATCTCATACGATTGGCTGACCTGACACAGTCCCATCATCGTCCCACCAATGAAGGCGAAGATGTTGTTGACGATCATGGCTTTCTTCCTGTTCCGGGACACAAAGAAGTCTGAGACCCCTAAACTCATATCACGATCTGTTCAGCCAGTCTCGTCATGTGCATGCCAAACTGCACGACCAGGACCGTCCGGCTATATCCTGGATCACCTCCCTGTTCATTGGACAGATGAGGAGACTGGAGGAGGGACACAGGAAGCTGCCCCGAGCCAATAAAAAGTGTCCAAAGCCTGACTGTGATGACTGCTAAGGGTGCAGAAAGCAATAGACTGGCTGAACAGAACTCCATTGCATCCCCCTTCCCCCGTCCCCTCCCTATTCCCTGATCTCCATGTACAAGGTGCTGACTCCCCCTTCCCCCGTCCTCTCCCTATTCCCTGATCTCCATGTACAAGGTCCTGACTCCCCCTTCCCTCGCACTCTCCCTATTCCCTGATCTCCATGTACAAGGTCCTGACTCCCCCTTCCCTCGTACTCTCCCTATTCCCTGATCTCCATGTACAAGGTCCTGACTCCCCCTTCCCCCGTACTCTCCCTATTCCCTGATCTCCATGTACAAGGTCCTGACTCCCCCTTCCCCCGTACTCTCCCTATTCCCTGATCTCCATGTACAAGGTCCTGACTCCCCCTTCCCCCGTACTCTCCCTATTCCCTGATCTCCATGTACAAGGTCCTGACTCCCCCTTCCCCCGTACTCTCCCTATTCCCTGATCTCCATGTACAAGGTCCTGACTCCCCCTTCCCCCGTACTCTCCCTATTCCCTGATCTCCATGTACAAGGTCCTGACTCCCCCTTCCCCCGTACTCTCCCTATTCCCTGATCTCCATGTACAAGGTCCTGACTCCCCCTTCCCCCGTACTCTCCCTATTCCCTGATCTCCATGTACAAGGTCCTGACTCCCCCTTCCCCCGTACTCTCCCTATTCCCTGATCTCCATGTACAAGGTCCTGACTCCCCCTTCCCCCGTACTCTCCCTATTCCCTGATCTCCATGTACAAGGTCCTGACTCCCCCTTCCCCCGTACTCTCCCTATTCCCTGATCTCCATGTACAAGGTCCTGACTCCCCCTTCCCCCGTACTCTCCCTATTCCCTGATCTCCATGTACAAGGTCCTGACTCCCCCTTCCCCCGTACTCTCCCTATTCCCTGATCTCCATGTACAAGGTCCTGACTCCCCCTTCCCCCGTACTCTCCCTATTCCCTGATCTCCATGTACAAGGTCCTGACTCCCCCTTCCCCCGTACTCTCCCTATTCCCTGATCTCCATGTACAAGGTCCTGACTCCCCCTTCCCCCGTACTCTCCCTATTCCCTGATCTCCATGTACAAGGTCCTGACTCCCCCTTCCCCCGTACTCTCCCTATTCCCTGATCTCCATGTACAAGGTCCTGACTCCCCCTTCCCCCGTACTCTCCCTATTCCCTGATCTCCATGTACAAGGTCCTGACTCCCCCTTCCCCCGTACTCTCCCTATTCCCTGATCTCCATGTACAAGGTCCTGACTCCCCCTTCCCCCGTACTCTCCCTATTCCCTGATCTCCATGTACAAGGTCCTGACTCCCCCTTCCCCCGTACTCTCCCTATTCCCTGATCTCCATGTACAAGGTCCTGACTCCCCCTTCCCCCGTACTCTCCCTATTCCCTGATCTCCATGTACAAGGTCCTGACTCCCCCTTCCCCCGTACTCTCCCTATTCCCTGATCTCCATGTACAAGGTCCTGACTCCCCCTTCCCCCGTACTCTCCCTATTCCCTGATCTCCATGTACAAGGTCCTGACTCCCCCTTCCCCCGTACTCTCCCTATTCCCTGATCTCCATGTACAAGGTCCTGACTCCCCCTTCCCCCGTACTCTCCCTATTCCCTGATCTCCATGTACAAGGTCCTGACTCCCCCTTCCCCCGTACTCTCCCTATTCCCTGATCTCCATGTACAAGGTCCTGACTCCCCCTTCCCCCGTACTCTCCCTATTCCCTGATCTCCATGTACAAGGTCCTGACTCCCCCTTCCCCCGTACTCTCCCTATTCCCTGATCTCCATGTACAAGGTCCTGACTCCCCCTTCCCCCGTACTCTCCCTATTCCCTGATCTCCATGTACAAGGTCCTGACTCCCCCTTCCCCCGTACTCTCCCTATTCCCTGATCTCCATGTACAAGGTCCTGACTCCCCCTTCCCCCGTACTCTCCCTATTCCCTGATCTCCATGTACAAGGTCCTGACTCCCCCTTCCCCCGCACTCTCCCTATTCCCTGATCTCCATGTACAAGGTCCTGACTCCCCCTTCCCCCGTACTCTCCCTATTCCCTGATCTCCATGTACAAGGTCCTGACTCCCCCTTCCCCCGTACTCTCCCTATTCCCTGATCTCCATGTACAAGGTCCTGACTCCCCCTTCCCCCGTACTCTCCCTATTCCCTGATCTCCATGTACAAGGTCCTGACTCCCCCTTCCCCCGTACTCTCCCTATTCCCTGATCTCCATGTACAAGGTCCTGACTCCCCCTTCCCCCGTACTCTCCCTATTCCCTGATCTCCATGTACAAGGTCCTGACTCCCCCTTCCCCCGTACTCTCCCTATTCCCTGATCTCCATGTACAAGGTCCTGACTCCCCCTTCCCCCGTACTCTCCCTATTCCCTGATCTCCATGTACAAGGTCCTGACTCCCCCTTCCCTCGTACTCTCCCTATTCCCTGATCTCCATGTACAAGGTCCTGACTCCCCCTTCCCTCGTACTCTCCCTATTCCCTGATCTCCATGTACAAGGTCCTGACTCCCCCTTCCCTCGTACTCTCCCTATTCCCTGATCTCCATGTACAAGGTCCTGACTCCCCCTTCCCTCGTACTCTCCCTATTCCCTGATCTCCATGTACAAGGTCCTGACTCCCCCTTCCCTCGTACTCTCCCTATTCCCTGATCTCCATGTACAAGGTCCTGACTCCCCCTTCCCTCGTACTCTCCCTATTCCCTGATCTCCATGTACAAGGTCCTGACTCCCCCTTCCCTCGTACTCTCCCTATTCCCTGATCTCCATGTACAAGGTCCTGACTCCCCCTTCCCCCGTACTCTCCCTATTCCCTGATCTCCATGTACAAGGTCCTGACTCCCCCTTCCCTCGTACTCTCCCTATTCCCTGATCTCCATGTACAAGGTCCTGACTCCCCCTTCCCCCCTACTCTCCCTATTCCCTGATCTCCATGTACAAGGTGCTGACTCCCCCTTCCCCCCTACTCTCCATATTCCCTGATCTCCATGTACAAGGTCCTGACTCCCCCTTCCCCCGCACTCTCCCTATTCCTCTTGGAGGTCCTCGGCTCTCTGACCCCTTAGTTGGTGGCGCACATTCCTCACTCACCGTCCCAGCCACTGAGACACCACGCCGACACTCAGAGAGGACGCCATGCCGCCGATGGAGAAAATGGCCACCGAGAGAGACCACAAGGTCCGCTGCAGGCCGACATCGATGGACTGCGACTCGGGACTGTGCCGGCTGATGTAAGATTCATTGTAGCTTTGTTCTATGATCTGATAGAGAGGAAATGGTTACCGCACCCCCCAGGTTACGGACAGGAAGTCAGCTGTGCGCGGGAAACATCTTCCCCTAAAGCCGAGAACGTTTCTATCGCTCTCTAGAAAGACGTTGTGGGGGGGAATGTATCACAACGGGAGCAGCCAATCAGCTTCCACCTTTCATTTTCAGATCTTAACTGAACAAACCCGAGGAGAGAAGCTGATTGGTTGCCGTGGCGGCTGCTCCCGTTCTGATCAATTCCCCTCTTTGTATTTTGATGCCGTCGCGTCTGCGTTATAAATACCCGGCTGCGGCAGCTGCTGCCGCCATTATCCGAGTTCCCAGGACGGCGGCACACCGTGTGACATGTCAGGCACTGCGATAACTGAATGTCCTTGTAATGTAGACGGTCACGTCACACCTCGGATATAACTGTCATAGTGATCCCTACAGATCAGCCAACGCCCCCCGGGGGGGCCACAAACCCGACACCACCACCACTTCCTGTAACGCTTACACAACTAATCAGGTGTCCCCTCGAGAGTCGGGCCCCACAACCTCCCCACTTCCTGTCACCGCGGGGATCCGAAGACCCTCCAGACACAGCGGAGATCAGAAGACCCTCCAGACACAGCGGGGATCAGAAGACGCTCCAGACACCGCGGGGATCAGAAGACCCTCCAGACACAGCGGGGATCAGAAGACCCTCCAGACACAGCGGGGATCAGAAGACCCTCCAGACACAGCAGGGATCAGAACACGCTCCAGACACAGCGGGGATCAGAAGACCCTCCAGATACCGCGGGGATCAGAAGACCCTCCAGACACCGTGGGGATCAGAAGACCCTCCAGACACAGCGGGGATCAGAACATGCTCCAGACACAGCGGGGATCAGAAGACCCTCCAGACACAGCGGGATCAGAAGACCCTCCAGACACCACGGGGATCAGCAGACCCTCCAGACACCGCGGGGATCAGAAGACCCTCCAAACACCGCGGGGATCCGAAGACCCCCCAGGTACAGCGGGGATCAGAAGGCCCTCCAGACACAGGGGGGATCAGAAGACCCTCCAGACACC